TTGTTAAAATTGTACTATAATTTCACAGCAAAAGAAGAGAACAAAGTTTCATTGAATTCAGAGAGAATAAGTTTGGGAGTGTATTTTTATATTGACGTAAAATAGTATGCCAAATAAAATAAATAAATATTTGTTAAACAGTGTGGCGACATTTTTCGATTTCTTAAAGCTACTTTTATTAATCATTAAAATAAAATAAGTAAGATTGGGTTATATCTTCTATAAAGTAATCTAATAACAAATTGTTTCAGAAAGCAATCAAACATGTAGCAAAATCTGTAAAACTGAGTTAATTCTCAATTTGCTTAAATATATTGTAGATAAGATTTCTGAAGAGAGAAAAATTTGTATTAATCAAATAATGATTATACTGTTCTGTTAAATTATTCAAATTTTTACTCTTTATAACTCTTCAGAATATACTAGCCAAGTCATTATTCCTGTAATAAAATGTTGTTAAATAAAAATAGAAGAGTTTGCATCTTGAAATTTTATAATTTAATGAATTGGCCATGCACTAACAGGTAAGCAAACATAAAGAAGGATCGATTTTTATTTTGCATCACTTTTATCCAACAGCTAGAAATGTCCGTTGCTCCATATAGATTTATTTAAATAAAAACCAAAAATAAATTCTACGTGTTACAATATTTAAATTTACGAGAAGGAAAAGGTAATTTTAAACATATGCATTCGTTGTAAAAACGGAGCTAGTGCGTTGGGAAAGATAAAGAGCAAAAAGACAAATTCAAATTTTCATTGATCAATACCATTTTGAATGAAATATGTAAAGCAACTGAATTTTTATTGCCTCTTTTTTAATCATATAAAAGAACAGATTTAACATATGTAAGATAAACCTTCAAAGATTCACAATCAAAATGTTTATTTTGCTCTTCTGCTTTCATTACTTGAGAGCTTTATCGGTTTTTGGTCTTATCGGTGAATAAATCTTTTTTAAACTTTCCATTCCATTTAAAAGGAATAGAATCGAAAATGTTCTTTCGATGATTATGATAGGTGAAATAAATAATTCACGAAAAATTATTTTGATAATTTATGCATTCACATGTTTATATTAGTTAACCTTACCATATATTTTCACACAATCGCGCAATTTTTTATTTTATTTTATTTTATTTTATTTTATTTTTTTTTGCGATGATGATTTTCTTTTACAATAACTCTATTTTTCGTAATAATTCAGAATAATATGTAGTGTTAATTGGAAAATGTATCTTCAGAAAACCCTGTATACGCCGCGCACTCCTTGATGATTTATTGATTGAATGTCCACAAAGGAGTAATTTAGTCATGATATTCATTTAATGAGTTTCTGCTAATATTTGTTGTAAGTAGTTTACGCATTTGAAAATTATTTTATTTCAGATTAATTTGCATAACTTTACTTTTCACTCTTACAATAGGCTTGCGTATTAAAACTCGAAATCAAAAACTGAATAGTAGCTAAAACGTTCAGACGTAAAAATGACTGAATTGATTGATTACAAAAAAGGAATTTTACAGTGCACTGAAAATGTGTAAAATAGAATATCCTACACACATTTTAACATCAACGACTGAATGTATACCTTACACACACACATACAAAAGGGACAGTTCTATATCTCCCATTCAGCTGGATTGTCTAAATTTAAATTACGTTTTCCATGTCTCAAAAGCGCGACTTTAGATATATATTAGATTTATATATACCATTTTATGTCCATTTTTGTGTCATAGGTAATTTGACACAAAATTGGACTTAAAATGTTACATATAAATCTAATATATACACAATCGGACATTTCGATTCTATGACTCAGATTATGCCAAAGTGCCAAGTTTTGTAAACAAATTAGCTCTCAAAATTTTAGCTCCTGTATGTTAATTGAATTTGTTATATATTTATTAACATATCTTTTTTTATTAAACTTATTTGATTCTTTCTTACACATTTCGAAATTTAGGTTCATTCCAAATAAAAATTCCCCCATTTTTTCTGATTTATTTTAAAATAATTTTTATAAATGTTTCTCAAAAATTTTGAATTATAATCTATAAAAGTTTTACCATCATCTTAAAGTAAGTGTATTTGTAAGCATGCCTGCAAAATATATTAGAGGTTTTTTTTTTTTTTTTTTTTTTTTTTTTTTTTTTCAAAATTTATAAGATACACGAGAATTTACATTTTGGCGGGGTTTGAAATTTGGTGTATTTGTTATAAGCGATTATAACGTCTAATGTGCTTCGCACACGTAATTCGCTAAAATCATTTCAAAATAGGAATAATAATGCACCTTTTTTCCTCTCATGCACAAAAAAAAAAAGAAAGGAAAATAGGTTGTTATAAATTAAGACGTTCGTCAAGTGAATGCGCCAAGCTAAATTTTAAAATTTCCCTGTAAGTTTCTCACCAAATTTTACAAAATTTGATATTTGACCAAAATTTGAGTCGTAGAATTGAAATAGGAGAAAAATTGGTATGTTATTTCAAAAAAATTACGATTTTGTGTCAAAATATTTATGTTAGAATAATGCAATATATAAATCTAATATATAGCCTGAGCCGCGCTTTCGAGACACAGAAAATTTCGGCAGTGGGTCCAGTAGAGGGGCAGCTATAAAACTGTCCCTTTTTTTATGGTGTATGTGTGTGTGCGAGTGCGTGTAAGTTGTACCTAAGGATCTATTGAAAGACTCCTAACTGTCCAAAAGGGAAAGGGTTTCTACAAAATAAGCCCAATGAATATATATTTAATATTATTCGAATAATCTGGAACTATGGTCTTTAGCATTAACGAAAATTATCTATATTTTTGAAACGGCAATAATTGTAGTCTTTCAAAGAAACTAAGTAAATGCTGCACTAATTATTTATGCGTTCTTGGGACTGAAAATAAATTTACTTTCTATTCCAAACAACACGAAAATACATAATAAACGTAAAATCAAATATATGAGATTAGTGTGTAGCTATACAACATAGTTTCGTCTTGCAAATAGCATTCAGCGCATCAGAAGGCCTTAAAGCCCGATCATACTGAACACGAAACGACTTTGATGTAGTTAAGCGACATTCTGAATGCAATTCCAATTGAGTTATTAGAGACTAGTGTTAACAGGATTTTAGAGTTAGTGACAGTGGCAATGATGCATTAAACTGTGCTGTTAGAGTTTCAAGAGGAGTAACAGGAATTAAAGTGCGATGTCGGATAATGGTCAAGGTAGGTGTAAGAAATAAAAGAGGCTGCAGCTTAAAAAGAAACACATATTATCAATCTGTGAATATTTTATTGTTACTTGCTTCCGTCTGACCGCTTCTCCATTTATTATATCTGCTTGTCACACTGTTGAAAATCGTAATTTATCATCGACTTCGGCTAATGTGGTATGAAATACGACAGAGTGCTAACTGTTTAGAATGATTCTTTTTTTTAACTCAATTTTCATCTGTCAATCATTAAGTGTTTTAAATTTGTATGCCAAATGCCACTTTCTCCTGTTATATTAAAACTCAGAAGCTTCTTCGGTTTTCTTCACCAATCATAAAAGTTATAAGTGTACGTGTTTCGTAAAAGCAAAATAATGCAAACCCAATATTCGTAAAAGTAAGGATTCCAGCAATAAGGTACGGTACTAATATTTCCTTTATTTAAATACTACTTTGTTTAAGTTAATATTAGTTTGAAACAGAAATAATAATCCATTATTTTCGGAATATTTCAGCTATTATGATATAAAGAATAATTTTACATTATATAAGTTATACACAAGTGTCATTATTAACTTACAATACGGTACATCCCATATTACTGCATAGTATCTAATGTTGGATATTAAATAATGAAACAGAAATACAAAAGTACTTGAAAGTAAACTCTAAAGGAAATTTCTGGCGCAAGGTTTGATTTTTTAACGTTTGTGATAGAATCACGAACTTCATTAATACTTCAAGAGCTCTAGTATTATATAGGCAATAAATTAAACTAGAAATTCTACACAGCAGACATAATCTTACGTTTAATAATTCATATCGAAATAAATGTAAACATTCTGTACGAATTAAGAGGTTAAAAAGAAGTAGCTGATCAGAAAACTGATCAGAAAAATGTATTTACTTTTATTTAAATTCTTTTATTTTAAAGGAATGTTAATTGTAAAATGAACATAAAAATCATATTTCGCGTGGATATATTTGTAATAAGGATTGATAAATTAAAACATCAAAATCTTTTATGGACATTTTTCTCCTCGAGGACAAACTTTTAGAATATTATGGCAATACTGAAGAACTCAAATTTTCAGAATTTTTAAATTAACAGAGCACGACACCATATGGCAATTCAATAATTAAATGCATAGTCTGAACATATTTATATCGTAGACAATTTTGAGGCATATTAAAGATATTCGTTCACCTTACATCGCGTGATACGTCGCCTAGACGGTATAGTGGTTAGTGCGATACCAAAAGGCTCGCTTTCGAATCCCGGAGAATGCATGGTTTTAGTTGTCCGTCCCTACATAGGAAGCAAAGGTGGCCCATCCATTATGTGCCTCCATAATAAAGTGACCACCACTTATGGTCTTAGTTGCGGCCAAGCGCCGAAGTCGGCTGATGGCCCGCCATTGGGAAAAAAAATAAAAAAAACTTTGCTTAATACCATTTTAACGCAAGTTGCAAATAATTATAGTCTGTTACTTTAAAATAGAAACTTCAAAGTTATTTTCTTCTGCGCAATACGGCTGCAAACGGCTGTGGAAAAAAGGCGATTCTCTTAAGGTTTTCCCCACTTCTTTTCGGTTTATCTTCATAAAAAGCATGCGAATGAAGATTGAGTTGAAGTGCATTCTCAAACGAGCAGGAGAAAATAAATGTTATGCGGTGATAACGCCACGAGTTACGATCACAAATGGGAGACTGGCAATTGCATTGGAGTGCCTATTTTAGAGTAGCAGACTACAGGAAGCTTTTCTTAACAGAGAGTTAAACTTACCTTTGACGCAGACTTTGTTCTCTATGTTTACAGGATAATGGTCATGGCATTCACAGCGTCCGGTTGTCCGGTTACAGTAAACATGGAAAAGGATACTATTACATGTGCTCTCACAAGGTTCTCCAATGTAAAAACCTACACCTAAAGAAGAATATAAAAATTCTACTAATAATAATTTTGAAATGCATTAAATATTGGATGATTGAATAAATTATCACATTAAAGGCTACGTCAAATGTTATATTGCAGAAAATTTACTCGTGACACCCATTATAGATCTTCAGTAAACAGCTTTCATATTTAAGAGTGTAAATGTTTTGCGTTAGTGTTGTTAATTTATGCTGAAATATATTTATTAATTATTTTTTATGAAATTTTCAATTGCTTTTGTAGAGATAAATGTCATCGAGCAGTCTGTATTCAGATTGCAAAGTCTATTTCAAATCAGTATATAAAAATAACGCAAAATTGCTTTTAAAAATGATTTCATTTAAGTATAAGAATATTTAACTTATTTAAATGTATCTTTATTCAAAAAGTATATTTAAAAATGTATCCTATTTTCATAATTAGGTTTTAATTTTATTAAGGTTTTAAATTCTAATTTATTTTTAGGCCCATTTATTTTTAGGCCCAACTATAAAGCCAGGAGTTTCATTAGAATTTTTCCGTTTAAATTTTCAAGTTATTACCAGTACTGTTCAATTTTTTTAAATGGCTGCCTGTCACCTGTTATAGACTTATTAATGTTACAAACATCTTATCGGAAAATGAAGACTGTAAAATGCTGTGTAATCTTTCGAAATACTTCAAAACCTAATTTGGATAAGTGAAATCAACATGAAAAGTTTTTCGTTTATTTTTGATACATTCATCACAACGAAGTATATGAAATATTTGCTTCTATGCAGCTTTATTATTTACTCCGGACTAATAATTGTAATATAAATTCTAATTTTTTTATATACATCGACACTTATGGTTAATAAAGAAAGATAATTTTATCCAATTTTCACAAAACTTAGAATATTTATGGTCCTAAATCCAAATTAATTGCCAAAATATTCTCGTATATTGGCTTAAAAAAATTAATTGTTTTTTTAAGTATTTTTATTTCATCTTCATTGTTTTGAAATTTTATATTTTTTTTTTTTTTTTTTGTAAGTTTCAATGAAATGTTTTAAGTATTTTTATTTCAACTTCATTGTTTTGAAATTTTATATTTTTTTTTGTAAGTTTCAATGAAATGTTTAATTAAGCTTCAAACACTTCTATGAATATTAACAACTTATTTATTATTATTTTAACTACTGTATTTATGTTTTCGTTGTTTTTCTTGCATTTTATATAATTCCTTGATAATTAGCTTTCAAATTCCTCTAATTAGTTTAATAAAATATCAAGTTATATTATTTCATTCAATTTGAATTTAAAATTTTCTGCGAAGTAAATTTATATACAACCAAAACGAATTTTATGCAATTCTCTTGGCTTCATTTATGCCACTTTTGTATAACTTATACTGACAGGAACAAACGTGGCAAGAAAATGTCTATTAATTCGAAACCTTAAAAGTCAGCTGACATGCAAAACCGAAAAGGTAATAAATAATCATTGTAGTTCAAATCTAATATAAAATGAAATCTTGCTGTTAACATTAGCTTCATTTCTCAAATTTCAGCAAGTTTTAAATTTTGTGTTTTTAAATTTCACGATAAACTTCAGTAATAAAATATATTTTAATACTCAAGTTTATGGTCGACTTATTGTTTATATTAATATTGTTATAGTTTATAGGAATAACCAAACTTTTTCCTGCTTCGATCAACAAAAATGCCTTTTTTCAAATTTTTCATATAGTCTGCAAAACTGAATTGCACATCAATACAATAACAACGGCGGTATTCAGATTCTCTATATTTTACTATACTACGTTTGCTAATTTTTAAGTACAAAATTCTCATATTTATATTTTATTTGACGTATTATGTAGCACAAACTAGTAGCAATTAACAAACGGAATAATTATTAAGAACTTGAAACTTAATTTTTGCCCTAAAAGTTGTTAATTTTAATAACCTTTTATTTTTTAAACTTATATAAAAGGATGCCGTAAATGGGCTCATGTGGTACATGACATAAACAAACTACACGCAGAAAGTACTTTATGAAATCTTAGTCCAGAAAATTATTAAGCTAAAACTATAAATTAGTGCGAAAATCAAATTAATGCGCGAAATTGTATACCTCAATGAAGTTTTGCGTATGGTTAAAGCAATAAAAATTTATATCTAATTCTTGAACATCTCACTTTTTTAATATCAAAATGCATTAATTACTTCAAACTAAACTATCAAAATGCAAACATTTTTTTTTTTTTTTTTGGTTTGACTCAATAATATCTTGCTAAGGAGCTGAAATACATTTCTGTGCTTTCATTGCTTTGATTTCCTGTTGAAATAGGGCATCTTAGCATTTGAAGCAATAAAAGTTTAAAGAAAAACTATCAGATGTTTCATAGCTGAAAACTCAAAACATCATATTTACAACATATAAATCTACACTAAATTCAAGGGAGAATGTTTGCCTAATATTTCATCCTTGGCGACGTGTACCTATCAGCCAGCTAAAAATATATCATGAAGTCCACCTAAGACTCATCTAAAAACACTTAGAAATCCTCTTAAATGAATTCTTGCGGAATAACTTGATTAAAGGTGCATCAAAAAAATATTCTTATTTTCTGTAGATTAAGGATAAACAACCGATTGTAAGTTTACTTCAGTGCCCATTTCTTGCCCTACTTATTCCAACTGAATGTACCTGAAGCTAAATAGATTCACTTGAGTAATTTCTCTTGCTCATTCTTGTCAATATGTGGCTGATATTAAATTTCATCTTAAAACCTTTCTGGCATTAAACCCTGAAAATAGTCAAGAAATGATTTTCTTGATAAGTGCATGACCATTTTTTTAACTAAATATAAATACGCATTTCCTTCTTACTGCTATTTATATACAGGGTTAGCATGAATGATTCATTCGTTTTCAAAGGGCTATATTTTCAAAAGCATTTTACGTATACACATGAAAAGAACCGTAAATAAGTACAGTGAAACCAATTTATTTTGACTATGCTTTATCTGAGATAAATATTTTTCTGAATGTACTAATAATGAAAAACATATAATTCTTCATTTCATAATCTAATTATTCGTAAACTATTGAATTTTAATTGAATAATTGGAACTACATTCAATACAATTCAAATTTCTACTCGTATCATGTTTGTATAGTTAAATATAAAAGCAATAATTCGAGATAAAAGTTAAAAAGTGTGTGTGTGTGTAATTATGGCAAAGCCTCGAGGGCTATCTGCCTAAGAGGAGGGATGCCTTCGTGGAGGGCTTTCTAAGGGAAACTGGCTCGTATACACGTTACACATGGGGAAAACCACGAAAACGCCCATGCAGCCAGCCCGTTCGCGGGATTCGAACCTCGGACCGAACTACCAGTGTTCAGCGACTTTACCGCTCGGCCGCTGGTGGGCTAAAAGTTAAAAAGAGTAAGTTATACTTGCATAAATTTCAGCGTGAAATAATGTACTGATTTCTTGGATTCCATTTTTGTTTCAAACTGAAGTTATTATTTATTTATGAAATGGGATTTTTTACCGTAATTGCTCCAAATCTAAAAAAGGAAGATAAATGACTTTTTCCCTCAGAATCGTTTGCTTGAAAAGTGTAATCTTCTGGACTAATATGTAGAGTATTTACTTAACGCAAAGTCAATAGTTTGATTTTATAATTACGTATATCACCTTCATTTTCTTCCCTCACTCCTTCCACACGGCCATATGTTATACATTACACAGTGCAATTAATAAGCATCTAACTACAAACTTGCAATTATGATTTCTAGATGTTATGATTTCTTCACCTAATTCAGAATACCCATCTCGATGCACACATTGAAGGTTCTTTAAGAATCTGCTACGTAAATGATATCTCCCATATTGTTTGCAGATTCTGCTCCGCGGGACATCATAAGGATTCATGTCTTCATAAAACTCAGTTAATCATTTTTAGGATCTTAGGTACGCGTCACTTCTAATTAGCAAATCAAATTGTAATGCATGCGTGAATATACTGTATATATATATATACACATGTGATATTTTCTAGCAGTCGTGATGAAGCTTGGCATCAAAGTTCAGGCATTGCTTTTACAGAGTGGTAAGGCGGAATCCAAATGACGAGACAAGATGATTTAACTTTTAAGTGCACACCTTTATTCCATAACTTTAATTCAATTTTCACCATTGATCATGCTTTACTTCATATGAAATTCTCCTAATTGCGTATTCAATAGTGGTTTAAACCAAATACGACTAAATTTAAACTTTATGCGTCATTACTATTTCTAACAAAGGAAAGATAAATCAAGCAGCAGCGAGATGTATAGCACAGGAGCAGAGGCGAGCTTCTGACGCAAAATGGCACGCATTCATTATTTATAGTAGCTGTTACGTAATAGGCTAGAATGTTCTCGAAGGTACTGGTCTAGGGGGAGATCATAATTGCGGAAAGTTAATTAGAGGTTGCCTGTTCGCGTAGAGAAAAGCCATCGTATTTTTTATATTTTACATACATATGTATATATATATGTGTGTGTGTGTGTGTGTGTGTGTGTGTGTGCAGTTTCATTTTATTTTATTTTCTTTCCTTCAAGTAAAATTCTTCAAATAAAAAAATCGAACAACTACTTCACAATGTTTTATCAACTGAAAAATGAAATCTGAAGAAAAATAATATTGTCCTATAGAAATTCTTTGACCTATTTCCGGTATTCTTGAGCAGATTCAATTTTGGATAAAATGCAACAATAAATACAGAGTTATAAATTATTTATTATCCAAGTAAAATACTGCATTTCTTATTCTATAACACGTTTAAGCAAATTTAAGCTTGAGCTACTACACCTGATTATTCTTAAACGAATATAGGTCATTGCTGTTATTTGTTATTAATGGGTTGCTTTACTTACCTCTGCCAAATGCACTTCGGACACTTTCATTCTCTGATTGGTTGAAAAAAAAGTCCGTTAGCAGCAAGAAAAGAAAAGAAATATAAGATTTAATATTTAAATATGAGTAAAATATTGTATTATATTACAACAGCAAATTTACATTTTAAAAACCTTTAGAAATGGCAGAAAATGATATTGTTTCTTATTTTACGAAACAAGAATTCATGCTTGTAAAATATTTTTCACCTCACGGCTGACATTAATGTTTCGAATTCTGTATACTTAAAATGAAATCAGGATTCCTTAATAAGATAAAATATGAAAATCACACTAAACGTTACATGGAAATAGGAAGTCCGACGAATTTGTTAGTTATAATAGAATAGACGAATAGTTACAATCACAGTTTGTCATTACAATACACAAAGTGTTCACATTGCACGTGAAAAATAAATTCTTTTTAATGAGAAAAAAGTAAAATATCTTTTTTTAAAGCTTAACGACGGATTATTATAGTAAAATGAATGTTTATTCATTATTAGTCAAAATAAAATTTTATTCCTAAAAATAATATTTTATTGTTAAAAAATACTTAAAGTAAATACCAATAACTTGCAAATAATTAAATTAACATATAAATTATAATTCTAATAGCTTCTTTTTTATGAAAAATATAACTGAACCATCTAATTACCCTATTTGATTTGCACTTTTCTCCCCCTTCGTATCTTCCCCTTTAGGGTTTGAGCATATGATTTAGAAACTTCTTACGTATGGCAACAATGTAAAGTACGCAGAAAGAGGAAATTGTTTTGTGTAAATAAAAAATAATACTTTTGAAAATAGTTTAAGCTGTTTCTTTAGAAATATTATATTCTGCCTATTTGTTTTCCTCCACGTTTTAAGGGGTAAAATTAGCATAAAAAGAATAGAAAACACGCGAGTTAGTACGGTAATTCAAATAAATGTGTCATAGTTTTCTTCCAATTACAGTTTTTAAACCAAGTTTTATAATACGGTAAATTACTTAATGCCTTAAAATGTTGAGATATTAAGTAATTTACCGTTATTAAAACCCTTGTTAACAAATTATCAAGATTAATCATAGTATCTTTTAGAATAAATCACCAAGTTGGCGGAATATACAAAGACTTCAGACCATCATATATCAGCTAAAATTGCTGTGCAATTATACTTGTAATCTACTAATGAAATATGTTTCAAATTCTGTGTTACAAAAAAGATCTGCGCATAATAAAAATTAACTGAAAATTTTGATTAGTAGAATTAATTAGAATGAGCAGCTGTAACAGACTCATTACCTTTAAATTAGGAAAATCAGACTTAAGAACCGATTAACGCTGAATAAATACTCGATGTATTTAGAAAAACGATCTAATCAGAAACTCTTTTTTTTAAAGCATTTGACAATGCGAAAAGAATTTCACAATGTTTCACAATGAGATACTTTCATCAGATCAAATCTCCATTTACGCGCACAGTTAAAATTAAATCCAACTTTTAATATTGAACTTTGCCAAATTTAAAACAAATTACAAAAGTGTAGGTTAGAGACAACGTACGCGCTTAACATTTCTACTTAGTCTTTAGATAACTAAAACTTAGCTTTAGTTTAAAGTTCTACGTTTTGAGTTTACGCCATAAATGCTGGCTGATTTTTAAGCAACGGGGCTGCCTCCTGTTCAACCATTTGAGTTCTTAATAAAAGGTCTTTTACACCCTTCTTAAGTTTTTGTTTGCTTTCTAGAGATAGTGTTAAGTCGTTTACTTCTACTTAGAGTCTATACTTAGTGTATATTACCAAAACAAGTAAGACTGTGCAACTATATCCACTAGTCTGCAAGGAGAACATCTCAAATATTGTTACGCAATATAAACTTACAAAGAAGTATTAATAGTATTAGAATCTAAGTTTTGCATTAAGGTAACATATTCATTAACGTTCCATTAATCACATTGTAAGGTGGAAATTTTCCAGTAATATCGAATATAATTTCTCATTTATACTGTTTGGCCCACCAGCCGGTAAAGTCGCTGAACACTGGTAGTTCAGTCCGAGGTTCGAATGCCGCGAAAGGGCTGGTTACATGGGTGTTTTCGTGGTTTTCCCCATGTGTAACGTGTATACGAGCCAGTTTCCCGAAGAAAGTCCTCCACGAAGGCATCCCTCCCCTTAGGTAGATAGCCCTAGTGTGCTTTGCCATAATTAAATACACCACACCACAGCATTTATACTGTCTTTCTTAATTCCCTTTAAATTTAATATATATATGCAAATTATATATTTACATGTATGGATACAAGCAAGTTTTTCATTTTCTCATTTGAAAGTACTAGTTTGAGCCTCATGGCTTCGGTGTTGTCCTTTTGAAAATGTTATAAAGAATCGAAATATAAATAACTTGTTTTTATTGAGAGGGTTAAAAAAACTCCGCAATTAACTTTGCCTAGACAGCAAAAAAGTAATAAGTTGAAAATTTAGCACATAACGTAAACTAGTTGTATTAATTATGAAAATACTTATTGCATTATTAATTATCGAATAATACTTATATTATTTAATAATTAATAATTCAATAAGCATTAAATATTGAGTAATACTTCTATTTTCAAATTTTTATCTTTCGCATAGATGCAATTTTATTTCTCCATTTGTTATTATGTAACAATAATATAAGGTTAAAAAACTGAATCTATTAAATAAATGTGATAACACAGTTTCAGGTTTTGCTAAATGGTATATTCTGTACAGTTGTAAAATATAAGAGCTTTTCTAGCCACTATCACACTACTGGAATATTCTTAGCATTCAACAGCCAGTGACAAATAAGCGTTCTTTGGGTTCTGACTTTACTCAATGTACCATATAACATTATTCTTAACCAAAAAAGGCAACCTTTAATCAAATCACACATGCTAAGATTTCATGTATATTCCTCACAATTCAGTTAATGCATTGATCAAGAAAGGTATCGTGAACGAGTAATCTATAGATGAAATGCATTAAAATCACAGAAGTTTCATTTTCAAATGCATTTCGTTACAAAGTTTAAATAAATAAACCAAAGTTTATCAAATTTCGTTTTTTTCTGAGCAACTTGGAGAAAATATGATACAAAAATATTATATTGTAGCGACCGACGATTGTTTATACATCAGATTGCATCCCAATGCATTTATTAATTCATAGTTTGTAACGTTTCCCCCGAAGTGTTAATTTTTCATTCATACAGATGAATACTTTTCTCCGCCTATGTCCACATCATTTAATCAGAAAAGCACAACATAAAAGATGCGCCACAATAATATGATAATGAAAATGGGTTAATGATGGGTGTGGAAGAACGCATATCTGAAGTTATGCTTTGATCCTGTTGGGTATGAATTTCTGCATGATCTCACTAGAGCAACGTCTGCTTTCATTTTATTAAAATGAATGCTTTAGCTTTCCAATTAATATACCCTGTCACATTTGTCAAATTATTTTATGTAATTCACATTCAAAGCAGATAACACTTTCATTATTCTATTAGATGTGCGAATGCGCAAATTTCTCAGAGCATTATTTTCTTTTACTTGATACGAGAGAGTCATGAGTATAAATAAATATAATTCTTTTTGGATTTATTAATACTATTTAAAAGTACATTAGATATTTTCCTTTATCCTGCTCAATAATCTAATTTTTGCGGAAATATTTTATTCCTTTAGTATAGTTATTTTCATAGAGAAACATTTGAGATTAAAAATATAAAGCATCATTTGCAAAGCTGTATAGCTTTCAATAATTTGTTTGGCTAAAGATATAAAAAAATTCTATTCGGTAGTGCGTGCTCTTGTGATATAACTGGTAGCACATCTAGCTAAGTGAAACCTTACATAGTTTAAATAATGCTTACATAGTTTAAGATAATAGCTAGGTTTTTAATTACTTTCTTCCTCAAACAAAGTCTCCTCTCTTTCCTTAGAAGTAGAACATCACAGATAATATTCCATTAGCTTGTATTTCAGAAACATTCTATAGGTAAGCTTTAGTGTGAAATTCTTTTTATATGTTTTAAAGTTTATCCTCTTATTAATATCTGCTTCTTAATGCTTGAACAGCTCTGTTTTCTATCTGGATTGCAATTCTTCATTTATAATATTGCCATAAACAATATGACTGTGTAAAGTTATTATTTTAAACTAAACAATTGTTATGATTTGGATCTGCACTTCTCTTTTATGTTTCCTCACCCGAATGCAAATGAGATAACGAGTATTTAAATTGAGGTTTTGTGTTTTTAGACAAAGAGTGTTTTTGAGCTGCAGGTGCCAGCTCTGTTTAGTTTCTGCCAGCTCTGATAGTGGTAAATTTTCGTCTTTGCGTTGTAGGGTTTATATTTATTTTAACTAACATTTATTTTAAGTTTAAACTATCTTTCCTGTCAAGCCTTACTTTCCCCTGGAACTGCCAATGCCAGAGTATGTAAATTTTAGTAGAACGCGCAAGGATTCAAATTATCAGCGGAAGTATTCTGAGTTAAATAGAAAGGAAACGAGTTCGAAGTGTGCTTTCTTGCTTCACGAGTGTGGAGGTGGCTAGTTAGAAATTGAAGAACCACGCGTTTCGGCCTGTGTGCTTGCCTCGGCAAATTGTTTTAATCTTTCAACGTATATTCAGAGTTTGCTGAATTATCAGCGGTATTTTAGAACGCGGTGAGGTTAGTTACGTTTAGAGAGCCTCGTAGTTAGTCACTTGTTATTATCTCTTTTTAGTTTCTTATTTTTATTTTACCGCCGGGTCGGCGTAGTTTGTGAGCGTCAAGAGCACGCATTTGTAATTTCTAAAGTTGAATAAAAATTTACTAAACCCTTCTCAAGACTCTGTCTAATTTCCAGTTTCAGCAGTCACCACTTTGTTGCGTGCAGGTTGGAGGCGCGCAACTTTACATTGGCGCCCGAACACTTGTCGAACTGAAATGGCCGAAAATTGGATGGAAGCCGCGGGACAACAACAAGAAATGGCAAGCCAATTGGAAGGATTTGGA